AGCTTTTATGCCTAATGTGTGAGCTGTTCTCCTGGTTCTCGAAGATTCTGCAGCCAACGCAAGGATGCATGATCAGCTACAACTTTAAATTTTACCCCGTGGAGGTATAAACAGAACTGTTTATAAGCATACATCACCGCCAAGCACTCCCGCTCAGTCACAATGTAATTATGTTCATGACAATTCAGGCTTTGGCTGCAAAACGCAACAGGGTGCTCCTCATCTTCACTATATTTTTAGGATAGCATGGCCCTACGTCGGAAAGGGAAGAATCTGTTTGTACAATAAATTTTTTATTAAAATTAGAGTATTTAAAAACAGGTGTACTAGCCAAAATGGTCTGCAGAACATCAAAAGCATTCTGACATTGTTCTATCCAGTCAAAGGTGGTTTTCTTCTTTAAAAACTCAAAGAGTGGTGCCCAAATACAGATGAAGTTAGGAATGAACCGCCATTAGTAACTTATCATCCCCAAAAACACTTGGATATCTCGCTTATTGCCTAGCCAAGTCATCTTATGTATAGCTTTCACTTTTGTCAGCTGAAGTTTAAGCCCTTTCAATTTTACCACAAACCTGAGGTACTCCAATTGCTCCTTAAAAGTGGCACTTCTGAAGCTTGACCTTGATATTAGAATCAGCAAGTCAGCGGAACACTTGTTCTAAGTGGTCAAGATGCTCTGTAAATGTTCATGAAAACAAGTTGATATTGCTAAGGTAGACTAGAATGCAGGACAGCTTCAGGTCATTCAATATCATATCCATAGCATGCTGGACGTTGCTGGGGCGTTGCACAACCCTGTGGCGTACGTGTAGACTGAAACAACTCCTTCAATGTGATTATAGTGCATCTCTTTATGTACCACCACCAGCAACTCAATCTTTCAGTACCCTAATATAAGTCCATGGAAGAAAGTAGTTAGCGCCTCCCAGCCAATCTAAAGCGTCGTCAAGCCACGAAAAAAGGATAGAAATCTTTCTTTGTGATGTCATTTAGCTTTCTGTTGTTGATGACCACCCAGTCAGTACCACCTTCTTTCTTAACAATTAGCACCAGTGATGTCCACGGACTCTTGGACAGCTCTAACATCCCCTTATCAATCAATTTGTCTACCTCATCAGAGACTACTTCCTCCGCAGCCTTGGAGCAATATATGGGCTATGAATGAATGGGTAGGAGGTCAACCCATGTCTACCCAATGCACCACCATGCGTGCACATCTTAAATCGTGGTCATTGGATGCAAAATATCTCATTATTTTTCAAACAGGGCCATCGCCCTATCTTTCTGTTCCTCCAACAGCCCAGTAAAAGCTTCCTCGTGGAACCACTAGCATTACACCAAATGAGGTTTTAAAAGGTAGACTGAGGTCCTCCCAAGACCCAAATTCATGAATACAGCGGACTTCATCAATAGTAATAAAGTGTAAATAAGCCACCACTTGGTGCCTTTGGATATTCATAGACTCCTTCTGTAGGTTCTTTAGCAATTCCTTCACTTCCCCATGTCCTGGTAGCAGTAGCCCCAGAGCCACATGGGTTTCAAGCTGCGATTGCTAGTAGGGGCCCACAATTTCCCATATAGCCCTTCATGGATGTATATTTCGAGCTCTGTCCTATTATGACATGAAGCCCAGGAGGTATGCATAAAGCGCTTGCTGCCCATAGCGGAATACCATTGTACTCATAAATCTGGCTAGGTAGGGTTCTGGTTCTTCTCTTCATCCACCAATAAAAGAACAGGAAAAATACCCCATCACTGTACGCTAGATTGATCTGACTAGAGCGGATTGGGTCCTTGGGACTCCGCTGGTGGTAAAGTAAATGGGGATCTGTTGCCCTAGGACACTAATGGTTTCCTCCGCCATATTGCCCATAACCCTAAATCGCCACATGAATGCAGCCAATTAGCATGTCATAAGTATTTTTAGGCAAAACCACAGCTGTAGTGAATGCACAAACTGACTCAAACTAATAAAAGCAACGTGCTGTATGCACCCTTCAATAAAGTACTCTGTACCTTTACGGTCCCATACACTACTCTATGTTCCACATCCAGTTTCAACGGAAGCTTAGCCACAATCTTGGTGGATATTATGATAACTGGAGCATCAGTACCTATAATAGCTCGTATTTTTGTGTTCTGACAAAAAATTATAGTATGTGCACTCCAAATAAGAGGAAACATTAGTGTTTATTACATGAACATATGAGGGCTTTTTGTTATAAAGAAAAGTGACAATACTGGCACTGACATGAGTATACGCCTGGTCTGTTTTCTCTACTGGAATTTCCAAGTTCACCCCTTATAGGGTTGCAACATTTGTTGAGGGTCCGCTTTCAACTGTACCATTCTGCTCAAGGATTTTTCAAGGCGTAAAGCTTTTGAACATCTTGACAGAAGCTCCAATTCTGTGGTATTGGGGTCTCTCACTCAGTTTTAGGCCAAGATATTGTAGAGTATTTGTTAAAATAATAATTCATCTGGGTGTTTACTGGGGCCAACACAAAGCAACTTGCAGAGTTCATCAGGGACAAATATGTTTAAATTAGCATAAGTAGATCATCCCATCTCTACTCCACTTGACCTTTTCCCAGTTTGTTTGGAGCAACTGTAGATGCATAAACATTTAGTTTGCCCTGACAGCTATCCGCATAATGGTCTATTTGGCCGCATGAGAAACAAGCAAAATAATCAGCTTTTGTCTCTGTATCACACCCACAGGTACAGGTCATAAATTATATAATAATTTGTAATTCAGCTGAGGACGAGATCGTTGAGGATAATGGTGACGGAAAGGCTCTTCAGAGCATTAAGTGACTGAGGATTAACCAATGATTATAATCATGTCGTTGGTGTCCATTTTCTGACGGGGATTCAGTAGCAATTGCAGGGCCTTTCCGTTCCACGTTGGAAGTACTAAAGATGATAGATAGATGGCGTAAACAATCGATTTTTAATACCTCTGCGTCATCTTGAAAAATATGGGTCATAGAATTATACAGTTCTCAATATGGCTTAACAGCCGCTGTCATCACTATGCCCACCTCCTCATTAGATAAGATATTTGCTCCCACCAACACATGAGCCTCAGCCGTGAACCGCTCTGTGAACTCCACCAAGGAATTTTTTAGTTAAAAAATTCATTAGTCAAAAACTCTGCCGTGCGCCGCACCATTTTTTTCACACCACTGAATGGGTGGATCACGGTCTACTTCACCTCTTGATACTTTATGGTACTACTATTAAGGTAATATGTGACCTGGTTGGCACCCTCAACATCCAGAGTGGATAACAACAGTTTAGCTTTCCGCTGATCAAAAGCCCCTTATACTGCAAATTTGAACTTCTTAAAGAATCTTGATATGTTATCATTGTGGTTAAATGGGGGCAGCTTGTCAGTGCAAATACCTCCCTCTACAGCACTGCTAATCCATCTACGCTCAGCAGAGTATAGTCGCTCTGTAGTTTCATCAAGAAGTTGGCAAGTTGGCTGGCTTGGCAACCCACTTGATGTAGTTGGTAAAATGCCTTGTCAAACTGATCCGTTATACCTTTATTCTCTCAGAAAAGCATTTATGAGCCTGGAGTAGTATAGACAAGGCAAGTTTCAGTTCCGCATATTGAGATAACTTAATAAACTGGGGTAGTACTTTGTCAAGGGGAACCAGTTGTGCCATTTCTTGGCGAATATGAAACTTTTTGTTAAGTTGACTAATGGTCCCCCTTTAGCGAGCAACGCTGTTAACTTTTGGCAATAGCAGTTGAATCTGCTGAGCTTGTTGCACAGGGTAAAAACCACTAAGCAATGGACGAGCAATATGAGGATTGCTGGACTTTGATAATTGATAATAAATAAGCATTTAATAAGGAGCTATTGCCCCACTAGAAACCAGTTTATTTAATATATATAATAAAGGACTACTTCCACTAAACCCTCTCTTTCTTCTTTTTCCAAAATACCCCCTTTCTCATTCTCAAGCTCAACTCTTAATCCTTGGTATTATTGTTTAGTTTTACCCTTCTGCTTAGTAATTCTCTATTCGCTACAAATTTAGGGCTTTTGTTCTATCATCAAGGCTTCAGCGGAATTCAAAAAAATTGCTGAATGATTAGTCCTTTGATTATTTTGCTCAACTCATAAAATTGATCTGCTGTATATTTGGATTATCATCCAGTCATATCAATTTCTCAACAGAAGGCCTAAGAGAAATGGAATTCTGTGAGGAAGAAATAGGCGAAGATGACTCATAATATGACAAAATTACTGTTACTACACAAGAATCTAACTGGGGAGAATTTGGACAATATAAAATTTTTGACCCAATTTCTCCAAAGAAATGGAAAATGGCCAAACAGGTTCACAAGTTGGCTGCAGTCAAGGCAAAGGCCTCAGCGGAATCATCCATCTCGCCTGAACAAATTTAGGAAGCTATGGAATAACTAGCAACAATTAGACAATCAAAGTCCACTAAAAACCAAGCAACCAATTTAAGAAAACAAGATTTGGTGGAACCCAATTTGGAAGCAAATCTGTCAGCACAGGGGTTTGGCACATCCCCAAAATTAAGAATTACAACCCAAATAGGATTAAAAATCAACAATTGAATGTGCCAGACAAAACTGACCCCAATGAGAACACACAAGTGCAACGCAAAGATAAATTAAAAGCCAACAAAGGCAAGTAGGGAATGTTGTGATTCTGATATGACTGGACGATAAGCCTGAAGACATCATGGCAAAATGTATGGAATCCGTTGGAATCAAACTGGTAATGATAATTTAAGCCGCGAATTGAGGCGATATTGGGTTATTGATAAATTGCCTTGAATAAGGTGATTGGGTAATGTTGTCATTCAACAAATACGAATTAAATCGCCTACAATTTAGGCAATAGAACTTAAAAGAATAACTAGTCGACACAAGGAGAATTGATATAACCAAATAGCCCAAGCAATGAGTGTGGTATCATCCAAAGCCACTGTATATAAGTATGATGGGCGGGGGTGGAAGGCAGGTCAGTAAGGGCGTATGGCTACCAACCTGAAGGTTGCGGGTTTGATTCCCACCCTTTGCACATCTATCAGGGTACCAGCCAAAGGAAGCTTTAGGCGGTTAGTAGGTCTAATAACACCAAAAACTTACCCATGACGTAACCAAAAAAATTTGAGTCCTGATCTGGAGGTGGAAAAACTTTCTTTGATGGAGTTGACCCTGTTCAGGTTTCATGTCATTTCTTTCTTTTAGTAATGCCTGTCCCCTGGTCGGCTTGCCTCAGTTAAATAAGTGTGATGGGCGATTAAGAGGAGTAGTTGGTTAATAGAGAAAAGAGAGCAAGAAGAGAGGATATGGGGAGTTTATTATATTTAAATAAAGTATTATAGTGGGAGCAAGTGCCCCATAGTTATTAATTTTAACATTTATTCTGTTGTTACAAGGGACCACGATTGTCATATTGTAGGTTCTATTGCTCAGTGGGCTAAACCCTGTGCAAATCTTTTACAGCATATCCTCAGTATTTCGCCAAATTGTAACAGTGGTGCTCACTACAGGGGGCCCATTGATCAGTAATAAAATGATAAAATTCAAGTCACCTGCTATGTCTCACCTAGGTTGCTTTAAAGAAATCTGCACGGCACCATAGTACCATTGCATATGAGGAGTTGAAAATCGCATTGAACACAGTGCTCAAAAAACAAGATGTGCTGCTCCAGGAAGTCTGCTGTGCTCAGCTGCCGCCCTTTGATTGCGATGGAAATATTCTTGGATTCCTTTGATAATTTGAGTTTGCAACTGAAGGTGCCTTGGACTGGTGCAGGGTGAAACTGTTAATCTCTACCTTGGATGTTGGAAGTGCTGATCAAGTTGTTTGTTACCTTTCAGACAGTTCTGTTACTCACCAAGATGTCAAGGAGACAGTGATACAGTTGTTTGGTGGAAAAGCAAAGATGTCTCAGCGGAAAGCTGAGTTTCTGACCATTGGTTTATAATGAAATGAGAGCCTCACTGCATTTGCTGAGTGGTTTATGGAGGAAGCACATGTGTTGATCAGGGCTGGGATTATAGCTGAAGCTGATGTATGCATTGCAATGGCCTCTGCAGTAAAGCCATATCCCAAGCTTTACAACATTATGGCCTCATTATTGGATGAAGATGTGACATTGCCTAAAACTGTTCAGTTTCTGCACTGTATATCTGCCAACTTCCCTCCACCCAGTATTGAGTGGATTCCCACTGTTGCCAAGGCCTACCCTTACCAGGGGAAGGAAAGCAACCAGTCAATGCAGATCATGCCAGGCTACTCCCTGCAGCTTGCCAACTGTCCCCTAACTGTTGAGCAACAACTGCCCAACTACCGCTTCAGCCTTAACTATGCTGCTTGACAGCAGGCAATCTACCAATGTGGGTCTGGTTACGCTGATCATCTTCAAAAAAACTTTCTAAGTGGGTCAACTTATATTAAGCACAGATGCAGTCCCTATGGAGTAAGTTGCTTTAATTGCAGTTGCACTGGGCACATGGAATGATGGTGCCCTGATTGACAGATCCCCACATATGACAGGATTAAGGTTATCAGGGAAAAGGTTGGAGTGGAGTAGAGATGGAACTCTCTACTTCCACTATCTCAAAGTCATACGTCCCCCCTGAATCTATTGTATTAAAGGAAGTAGACGCCTCCCAGTATGATGATACATTCCTCTACCAACAGCCAGTTGGGGGAGTAAATGTGCTGACCCATGAACAATTCAAAAATATGGCTGACCCAGGGTTTCTGGAGCAGCCAAAGCCTTACACTTGCCAAATGTTTGACCAAAACCTGTCAGACCAGCTGGAACCATTTGCTGACGCATTGTCTCTAAGAGAAGTAGAGGCCTCCTTCCTGGTGGATGCTATTATAGCAAGCTACCCTAAAGTCGGTGCAGGTATTATAGGTTTCCTGGGAAAACGTGAACTTTTGAATGTACACAGTAAATAACTGGCTTTCATCTTACTCGTAGTGCACTTACTATGAAGTGGTGGTAGCCAAATCCTGAGTACAAGCTATAATTGACATGGGTGCTCCTGTTAACATTGTCTCCACTAAGTTGGTGGCAAAGTTGGCTTTAAAACCTGACATAGAACACTGGATGGTGTATGGGACCGCAGAAATGGAAACCACAGTCTCTGAGGGAGTGTATAGTGCACTTCCTTTGTGGTTTGGATCTGTTGTTATTATGGCACCGGCAGTAGTATTACCAAATAGCAACTATGATTTGCTGATTGGGACTTCATTTATGCGACACTATAGGGCTGTCATTGACATGATGGTAGAGACCCTAGACATCCTGGTACAACGGATTCCCATTTATTTTAATTCCAGGGAGTTCCAGATGACCCAATCTGCTCAAGTCAAATTAATCTCGCCTATAGCGATGGTGTGATACCTGTAAAATATCGGTGGATGAAGTGGAAGACCCAAATGCTCCCAACACAGATTTACAAGTACAAAGGGATTCTCTAAGAGCTGCAAATGCTTTTACTAACCTTCTGGGCATCAGGTCATAATTGGGACAGAGCTTGAAATTGATATGCCAGGCGGTCTGTATGGAGAGGTTGTGGGGCCCTATCAACAATCATGACTCAAACCTCATATGGCTCCTGGGTTACTGTTACCTGGGCAGGGGGAAGTAAAAGTGTTGGTAGCAAATCTGAAGAAAGAAGTGATGCAGGTGCAATGACACCAAGTGGTAGCTTACCTGCATATGATCCCAATCGATGGGGTCCACCAAAAACATGACTTTGGTTCGTGGGAAGATCTCAGCTTGCCTTTAAAAACCACCTTTGGTGTAATGACTGTGGTTCCTCAGGAGGCACTCACTGGTCTATCAGAGGATCAGAAGGATAGGGTGATGGCTTTTTGCAAAAAGTATCACATTATCTTTGCAACTGACAATCATGACTTGGGGTGCACTCATGGGGTTGTGCATCGGGTGGACACAGGAGACCACCCCCTATCAGGTCACATCCTATCCATTACTCAAAGGTAGCGGAAGAAGTTGTGTCTGCAGAAATAGATACAATGGCGGAACAGGGAATGTTGGAGCCATCAAAAAGTCCTTGGGCATCCCCAGTAATAATTGTCATAAAGAAAGATGGCTCCAATCGAGTAGTAATTGATTATAGGAAGCTTAAAATCATTATGAAAAAAGATTCATACCCGCTTCCACAAATCGATGACATGTTAGATTGGTTAGGTGGGGCCAAGTATTTCTCAGCTATGGACTTGATATTGGGGTACTGGCAGATTGAGTTGCCAGCGGCGGAACAAGAAAAGTGCGCTATAATCACCTCAAAAGGATTGTTCCAGCCTACACATATGCCACAGGGTTTGTGAAATGCTCCCGCTATGTTCCAGCGGGCTATGGATACTATTTTGGGTGACTTAAAGCTGTCTTGCGTTCTTGTTTATCTTGACAATATCAACGTGTTCTTGCAAACATTCACGGAGCATCTTGGACACTTGGAGCAAGTGTTCCGCCACCTGGATGATGCTAATATTAAGATTAAGCCCCAAAAGTGCCACTTTTTTAAGGGACAATTGGCATATCTTGGCTTTGTGGTAGACTCCAAGGGGCTTAGCCCTCAGCCAGCCAAGGTGGAAGCCATCCACAAGATGACTCAGCCAAGAAATAAGCAGGATATCCAGGTGTTCTTGGGGATGGTCAGGTACTACTGGCAGTTCATTTCCAACTTCAGCTGTATTGGGGCTCCACTCTTTGAGCTACTTAAGTAATACGCTGTTTTCAACTGGATGGATCGATGTCAAACTTCTTTTAATATGTTATGAGCCGCGTTGGTTAGTGCACCTGTTTTGCAATACCCCAACTTTGAGAAAGAGTTCATTGTGCAGATGTATGCTTCGCTTTCTGCTGTAGGGGCTGTGTTATCCTAAAAGAACGATGACAGTGTGGAGCACCCCATTACATATTATAGCCGCAGTTTAACTGGGCCTGAACGGAATTACACCGTGACTGAGAGGGAGTGTTTAGCTGTAATCTATGCATATAAGCAATTTTGGGTCTACCTTCATGGGGTAAAATTTTAAAGTGGTAATGGAACATGCCTCCTTGCGCTGGCTACAGAATCTGCGGGAACCTGAAGGGCGGCTTGCGCGATGGGCTTTGAAACTCCAAGCATATGATTTTGAGATCATGCATTGACCCGGGGTGAAGCATCAGAATGCAGTCTATCTTTCCCAATTACCCACGGTCGCCATTACAGCGGATGTGTCAGACATAATGTATGAAAAGATGATTGTGGGCAAATATCAAGATGAGCCGCTGCCCAAGATCAAAGTGTTAGATGGGCTTAGGCAGGATACCTTCTTGCGCAATGAGGAAAGATATAAGCATATTGGGGAATCAACGCTGAGCTTCCCAAAACCCTCTGCCCGTGCTGCAATAATAATGTATGTCATAGAGTGGTAGGTCATGGAGGGTTGAAAAGACGCTGGAGTTCTTGTGACCCCGCTACTTTTGGGAAAGTATGCACTACGATGTGCTTGAGACGGTCGGTTGTTGCCATCAGTGCCAAGTGAAGAAATCATACCACTGGAAGACCACCTACCAACTCATTAAGCCTCGGTTTGCATGGCATACAGTTTCATTAGACGTGGTGGGGCTGCTGCCAAATGGAGCAAACCGCTCCAAATATATAATAGTAGCCATCAACCATTTGACAAGATGGGTGGAAGCAAGGGTTATCAAGGATTTGGGGGCTGTCACTACCGCCAAGTTCATTTTGGAGTGCGTCATACAGCGCCATGGCTGCCTACAGTTTATCCTAATGGATAATGGAACCAATTTCACGTCCCATATATTGGCCAAGTTGAACGAGCTCATGGCAATCTGCGGGGTTTTAACTACCCCCTATCACCCTAAATCTAATGGTATGGTGAAACGGGTCAATGGGACCTTGGTAAATATTCTACGCAAGCTTATAAATGAGCAGCTGTCAGATTAGAGCACCCTTTTATCCTCTGCTGCCTTCACATAAAATATTAGCTACCACTCAGCAACTGGTAAGAGTCCATTTCAA